CGGCGCCCCGCCCCTTTCCGGGCAGGAGCCAGGCCCCGCGCTCAATGAAAGAAATTCCGCTACTCTCATTGGCCCGGGGCTGGGCGCCATTCCCCCTCGGGGGCCACAGGGGCGCTGGCGTGCGAGTCTCCCTCAGGGGTGACCACGCGTGGGGCTGGCCTTAGGGGTGTGCTGCGATGCGAGCCCCCGGCCGCGCCCGGAGTCTGCGTGCGCGCTGGGGGAAGGGCAGGATTTGCAGGAAGGTCTCAGAGCCGTTTGCTGACCTTTACCTGCAGCCAGGTACTGTTCGCGCAGCGCTCTCTCGGACAGGCGATTGCTCTCCCGAATGAAGGGTCAGACTGCGAAACTTCCCCACACCCATCGCCTAACTGCTCTGTCCAAATCAAAATAGATTGTCCTAGCCTCAGTCACTTGTTTGAAAATGCGTATGATGGTGCCTGTCCTACGTGCTTCGTAGAACCATGAATATCCTAGGAGATAGTGCACGTTAAGTACACAAATCTCAAGTCAAGCAGGATGAATTTTCACAAATGAACAAACACACCAGTGTCACCAGCACCCAGAAGGTAATGTAACCCGCACCCCAAAGCCCGTCTTGTGGCCCCTTTCAGTTATTTCTCACTCCTGGAAAAATTGATGCGTTTTAAAATACCAAGAGAAATCCAATATATTGGATTTTATCAGGGTATTTGCTGGCTTGGCTGTGGATTACAATCATAATAGCTCATGTTAATTGAGTCGTTACTATGGGCAAGCCAATGTCCCAAGCATTACCAGGACTTAGTCACTTAATTCTCACAAAAACCCTGATAGTACTATTATTATCTCCATTTACAGATGAGGAAATTGAGGCACAGGAACTTGCCCATTTAATTTTCCACTGAAGTGAGGGTAGTGTTGAGAGTGCTAACATGAGGGGCATAATCCAGAGGGGCATAAGCCAGCATGTGTGCTCACCCCCAACAGCTGGAAGTGGTGGGTGGGTCCGTGTTGCCAGAGCACATCCTTCAGGGCACTGATTTTCAAAATGTGGCTCAAGGAACCACCTACATTGGACCTGCTGAATCAAAGTGTTATGGGTTGAGTCTCCAAACTCCCCATTACAACACTGGGGATAAGTAGGTTGTTACCACCATTTTATGGATAAGGACACTGAGGCACAAAGGCTTGCACAAAGTAACTTGCATAAGCTTGTTAGTGGCAGAGGCAGGATTAGAACGCAGCCAGTTTGGCTGGGGAAAGGATATGGGTGTGTAATGGGAAGCAAAGGAAATGGGACAGCCTGCAGGAGAGGGGTTACCTACAGGGCCTCCCCTCAGGGTAGGGATGGCTGTGCTTCAGAAAATGCTCAGCGCATACCCCTGGGGGCAAATATGTGAACTGTGGTTCATTTACCCCACTCCCACCCCATACCTCCCTGAAGTACAATGGCATCCCTTTCTGCAGAGTTCCTGGGGCAGCGCCCTGAGGCACATCAGGCCTATGCTCCCACAGCCTCAGGCCAAGGGGAGACTGAAGCAGTGACCTTCTTGGGGAGGGCTGCCTTCTTCCCTGGGCAGTAACTTGGGCAAAATCTGTCCTCAGCTTTTGATCCCTGGAAGATGTGGTATTGGGGGTGGAAAGTAGGATGCTGAGGAACAATGCCACCTGAAGATCACTGAAACCAGAGTCTGGTAGGCCTGATTTCAGTACTGACCCTATTTACCTCGCTCAACTCTGTAAGCCTCAAGGTTCTCATCTATAAAATGGGAATAGGAATCATGTTGGAGGTCACTGCTAAAATTAAATGGCAGAAGGGCTAGAGTCAGCTCCATTGCAGGAAGACTGCCTCTGAGTAGAAACAGTGTCAGGAAAGGAAGGGCAGTGATAGTACCACTGTCCTTGGATTCCTAGGGCCCATCCAGTGTAGCGCCTGGCATGCATTGTGGCCACTAGAGGGTGCGTGCCATGGGCCCCAGCAGGGCAGAGCTGTGGAGCCAACAGCCTAAGGACACCTCCCTCTTAGACTGCTTTACCAGAGAACAAGCCCCAATGCCCCAAGTATTTGAATTTCCTATGCAAACAAGGGGAAAGGAGGAAGGCAGAGTCCCAGCTGCTCATCTTCAGTTCTCTGCAGTGAGTTACTGACAAAGTAATTCACAAAAAAATGTAACTCTGACCCCTCAGATTCAAATCTGCCCT